GGGTATTGTGCCATCTGGGTGCCATCCACTATCCATCAAGCCGTCCATCCACCGGCGCTGCTTCTCTCTCACCGTGAGGCCGGCGGTTTTTCAAAGTTGTCGGCTGTATCAGCTGTATCAGCTGTACACAACAATGATGAGTAAGGCGGGGTTGTCGTCCACCCAATCATTCCAGCATTAGCGTTTGCTTGTCATCAAGGGACGCTCTCGACAACGTTTCGCGGTCGGCCAGCCATTTTCTGCTTTCGGTTCTTGCTGAGGTAAGTCCGTCTCGAGTCTTCAATCCCCTTTTGGCGTGACTGATGACAGAAAAACGTTCTTTGGGCCGTTGTGTTGTTTGGGCCACAGGGTGGGCGAGTGGATTCCTCCCAACCGGCGACCACGGTGGACTTGACGAACTTCCTGTTTCTGTCCCGGCTCCGATCACGCGGGGCCGTTCTTTGAGCCCCTCGAATGTTTGTTTTCATGGAGCCTAGGACTGGCCCCTGATGATTACTCGTACTGAGGTGCCGAAGACCCTAGGGATGGGACCCTTATGTGAGTCTGAGCTGGCCTAACATCGGAAAGGGGAGCAGCAGCAGTAGCAGCAACAACAACAACAGAGAGAAGAGGGGCAGCGCAGCTGAGACGGGCAGGTTCCATATATGTGAAAGGTGTGTCTCGCACGAAGAACATAAAAAACCTGGTTCCTCGCAAGTCGCACCACATATGGCGAAGAGCTGAACAGACGGGACAAGAAAGCTTTACTCTCTAGCTTGTTGACCTTAAAATCATGTGTGGCGTTTGTTGACCGATCTTCTCGCAACTCTTACTCTATCACGCGGGCATGGCAACCGGCTTACTCGGTTCCAGGACGCACGAGGCCTGCAAAACGAGGTGGCCGAAGCTATAAAAGGGGGCAAGCAACAGGCTGACGGGCTGATGGGTCAGTCTTCAAGAACCACTGTTGAGGACCCATATCAAGAAAAGGGGCATCTTAATGGGTTGTGCATCCATGCACAGGACGGAAAGCATAACAAGTACTCACACGGATACGAAAGATGCACCACATCTGGCGCCCAAAGCTGACGGAGTGGAGGAAGAGGGACCTGTACAGCCTTGCCGGAGCACTAGGTATGGGAAGTTTTGGTGTCGAAAGATGTGCTGCGTACATGAGGAGGTGGAAGGGCCCGTCTGGTCGTCCTGGAGACCGGTAATATGAAGGAAAATGGAGGGAGAACGGAGTCTTTTGTACTTGTGCAAGAGATGTACCTCGTCAATGAATTGTCGTTGAGGCAATTTTGGTCGAGGGAAGGTTTTGCTCGCCTCGGATCGTCTAAGCGTCTTGCCTAGGCCCCAGGACCTCTTCATGATTCGCCTGGGATTTTCCCGGGCACCTCTCCAGTGGTGCTTCAGGTGCTCCAGGGCCCACGATCCCCTGCATGGTGTCGCCCAGGGCCACGCACAACCAGGACGTTTCGGGGTTCCAGACTTCTGTAACAAGCCTGGGCCCACACAGTTCTCAGCCCACAGCCACACTGGGCACCACGCGTCATAGAGAACCCCCGATAAGCAGATTGGCCCAGCGACGTGAATGAAACCTTCTAGATTCGCAACAAGACGCCTGTTCCAGCATTCATCAGCCCTCTCTGGTGCTTCTATCGCAGTGCAAATCACGCTCGCAACACGCCCTGCCACCATCTGGTCGAATCAAGCCGCGATAAACGGATCAACTGCCCCAGCCAGCGCTTGTTGCGATTTGGACGCTGTTCAGGTCACCCGGCCTAACATTACTGCGCGGCCCTCGTAGTTGCGAGTCCGCTGCGCTCTTTCTGACGCTCTCATTATCAATGAGCCCTTTTTGAATTTTCCCGGTCCAATATTTGATAGAGTGCAAGATCGGTCATCTACATTATCCTCGAGCTCCTCTCTTGCTCTTCGATGGTCGTCTTCTTCGATAAAACTGTTCCGTGCTTACCTCGCCACCATGCCTCGGACGCCCTCGCCCTCCCACCTCAACATGACGCCACCAGGTGAAGAGATCCAGATGAGCGAAACCAAACCTCATGCCGAGTCAGAACCAGATCCTGAACAACAGCCTGCAGCTGCCAGCATTGACGCCCAGGACTTTGCATCGCCCAAGAACCCTGCCATCGCCTTCACCGACGCCAGCAGAGCCGAAAATGGCCACGCACTCGAGCCTCCGGGGCACATGCTCGGCGAAGTGTTTTCCAATACTTTTTCCAATGAAGAGGAGGAACGCCAGTTTTCCATGAGACCTCGATCCATGTCCCACCATCTGTCTGCGAAGGATATCCCATCTAGGAAATGGCTGAAAATCAAGGCAAAGTGGTGGCGAGCGCTGGAAATGCTGGGCATGTTGTTTCATAGCTGGGCCTGGCCTCGTCCCGCAAAACCGGCCTTCAAATGGGGCATCGAGACAGAGACCGACCCGATCGAGCTCTATTTCTATCTTCCCCCGACATACGATGAGATCCTTCAAAGGGATCCCCTCTACCGGTTCCCTGCGGTCGTCAACTTCCATGGTGGCGGGTTTTGCTTGGGTGATGCTCAAGACGACCAGTATTGGGCGCGGGTTGTCCTTCAGCACACGAACTGTATCTTCGTCAGCGTCAACTATCGACGTGCTCCTGAACATCCCTTTCCCACGCCCGTGGACGATTGTGTTGAAGCACTCGTCTTCATTGCCGAAAACGCCGAGGAACTCCATATTGACCAAACAAACATCGCTCTTTCCGGGTTCTCTGCGGGCGCAAATCTGGCCTTCTCAGCTCCTTTACGCCTGGCATATCATCGAAAGTTGAACGGGCTGGAGAAGACCCGTTCCAGACCCGTGACCGCGCACAGCGCCGATACTACCGACACGTACGGGACCTACATGACTGACCACGACGATCATCACCACGAATCTCACAATTTCCTCACACCCGTACCCTCGGGCTCAGTCCTGTCCACGTCGAATTTGGTGCGCCAGAAGACAGGAACCCCTCTCCAAATCCGCTCCATCATCGCTTGGTATCCGCTGTTGGACTGGACTATGTCCCGGTCACGCAAGATCCGGGAATCTCTCAATCCCAAGAAATGTCTCTCCAAGACCTTCACCGACTTGTTTGACTTTTCCTACCTGCCTGCTCCGGACATGCACGGTGATCACTGTAGCCCTTACGCATCTCCGGCTCTGGCGCCCGACGAAATGATCCGTGAGGGCCTGCCACGCGATATCCAGATGTGGCTTTGCGAATGGGACATGCTCTTGCGTGAAGGACAGTTGTTTGCCGAACGGCTAGACGCACTGGGCAAGCGAATCGACCACAAGACGATCCCTCGGGTGCCTCATGCTTGGGACAAGTCGCCCAACCCGTTCCGTGACCAAAGGGCCATCGACGTCTTGTATACCAAAGCTGCAATGAACTTGAACCGAGTCTTCCAAGACAGGAATGGCGTCGGTCCTTTCAGTTCGATGAGTTCGCTTCATCCCGAAGATCCAATCATCCAGAGACAACCTAGGAGGAGTGTCGTCTTACCGATGTAATCTTTCTCGGACAGATCCTGCAGGAAGCGAACTATATAAGCATCAGCTCATTGTGGCAATCGACTGCGGCTTCTCGCTCTATTCTAAGAGCCGAGGTGAGAGAAAAAGTGAAAGGTGGCCACTGTCTTCGTGTTCCGAGCCTCGTGGCCAGATTTGGTGGTCAGCCTTTTCTCGGATCTTCGGATGCCGATGGAAGTTTGTCTAGCCCCGAGAAGATGTCATCCCTCATCACTTCTCATCTATCTGGTCAACGAAAACGATGCTTCTCATATTTCCGGGTGGATTTGGATATATGGCACCCATCTATGAGCTTCGTTGACCGATCGGGGACACTTATTGCCACAACGTGCCGCATGATTCGAACACTTGTCTCTGCAAGGCGCTATGTGGTCGATGTCACGGTCCAGTTTTCCGTGTCATTTTTCCCTCATCTCCGCCATACCCTGCACCAACACTCCCGCATATCATTGTTCCCTGTCAGCGTTCTAGCGTCGGTGTCTGGTGTTGTGTTGATGAAGTCAATTGTTCCTGATCGTCATGTAGTCATGACATTTTTCTTCGAGGTCCTTTTCAATTGATTAGGCTAATCGCCTCTGTGTATTTTTCCCTCCCTTGTGTTCCTTCCGTGTGCAAGAGGGTGCAACCAGGGCAAGGAGCATGGGACTGGGGGACCGCCAATGGTGGTTGTGCATGAGGCAATGGGTTATGATGGACGATGATCTCGACGGATAGCATGAATGGAATGCATTAAATGAAACGAGTAGAATGGGGGACGACAGATAGACACGACTCGAGAAAAAGTTCGGAAAGAATCATTTCATTACCACAACCAAGTCCCAGACCAAAACATCCGCACCCACCGTTGCCTTTGCTCTCTCTTCTCTGTCTCTCGCCCTCGTCCCTCCCCACTTCTATTTGACGTCCATTTTTTCTAGAATGCATATTCTTCCGCGCCTCCGTCCCGCGCCTCTCGCTGGTGGGCAGCGCCTCTCCTTCTCCTTCTCCTTCTCTTACCGTCAGCATTCAACATTTCGCACTCTATAACCTAGCAAGCTTGTAGATCAAGAACATACCGCGTGAGCCTCAATGCTGGCGAAGCTAGAGTTGTGTCGTCTGGAGCGGAGTTCTGGCTCTCCTCAGACCATGACCGTCTGGAAAAACATTTCAATTTGGTTGAACAGGTAAAAGCGATTGTGCATGAAGAATTCAGGAACCGGGACATTGACAACGAGATCTGTATTCTTACATTATCAACACTAGCATACTGAGTTCTATGATCTGTACAGCGCATTTTCCGTTGGAAAGCTCTATCATACAATGTTTTCAGTTGTTTCTGCTCTTCTCAGTGACACAATTTCATCTCGTCTCAGTCCATCTTTCGTTGCTTCGTGTCCGTTCCTAACGTGGTCGCGTATCATACCCCCATTTGCCTCCCTTTGATACAATCATTACAGCCTGTGCTGTGTATCTAGTATCGCTTGAAAAGACCAGGGTGTGGTGCTGGGGTGGTGGTGGTGGTGGCAGGGTAGAATGGCATGGCATTGGCCCTCGGTGGTGTACGAGCAGCAATAAAGGTGCCGTTGGATTCTACGGTATCAGACGCTGCACCTGTTCCTGTGGGTTGGGTCTCAGTCCAATTGGTTTGAGTGTTGACGGTGACGGACCAGTCACTGCCGATGGTGCCAGTGTAAGAAACGGGCGGTCCCCAGGTGGTGCTGTTGTTTGTCCCATTCCAGCCTGGCAGGCCGGTTCCTGAAATAGTAGTATTGGGAGCCCAGGAAGTTGGAGTGCCCCAGGTGGTCATATTGTTGGTGACATATGGAACAATTGGAGTTGTTCCGTACCAGAGAGGTGTAGTGGGAGTGGGAGTAGGGATACTGCTGCAGACAAGGGTGTGATACTGTGAGGTGTCGATACCCAAGGAAGGACCCGTCCGATTGAAGAGGCTGAGAGTGTCACAAATTTGACCTCGGTCAGTGGTGATATCAGCAGCAGCAAGAATGCCGATGAGAGCAGCATAAAGGCTTGCGTACAGCTGCTGACGGCTGGTATCAAAGTCATAGCCGTAAGAGGCACAGAAGCAGACGATAGACTTGACATTGTTGGGGGCATACCATGACTGGTACAGTTGGTATGCAACCAGATCAGTGTTCAGCTGGTCACAGGCCGCATGCAGGTCCATGCCGGAGTCGCAGATGCTCAACGCAAACATGGCGGATGCAATGTCGGTGAACTCGTCCCTCAGGCCACCGGAGAGCAGGGAAACATCCGGAGGCAGAGCATTGGCAAAGCTGCTTGCTAGATCTGCCAGGGCAGCTGATGTGGCTTGGTCAGAGCGACGGTTGATATGTGACTTCTTCAGGTCTTCCATTTCGTTCCAGCTGGCAGTCTTAGGGGAGGGGGCAGCAGTATTGTCGTGGGCAGCATGGTGCATTCTGGTGCTGGCTGTACCTTCAGGGATGCATTGGATCTCGGTGACGGTAAGCATTGAGCTGGTAGATCTGGTAGTGAAGGGACCCTGCAAAAGTTAGCATCGGTCAACGTGGACAATGAGCTAAACCTCACCTGAACATCAACACTTGGGACATTTGTGACGGTGCAGATACTACAGTCCACAGCCTGCTCTTGTCAGTATATAGGGAAACATCAGAACAAGAGTGACTCACATATCGGAAGGTTGTCATGATTGCCTGGTAGACAGTGCTGGTGGGACCAAGCTGAGGAGGCTGAGAAGCAATGTAGGTGAGCGTACAATTGGAAGAGTCCCGCGTTGACTGCATAGATGACAGTGGAACCATGTCTGAGAGACTCTGAAGGGCCATGGCCAGGAGAAATAGAGCGTACAGCCACATGATGAGACGATGGATTGGAAAGTCAGAGCACTGAGGTGAGGCTGAAAATGGAATTGGAACGAGATGAAGCAAGGGGCGAGATGTTTGCTCCTGGCACGTCTAGAGAGAGGAGAGAGGACGAAGAAGATGAGTGAAGGTGACGGTCCAAGTGAGAAGGAGAATTAGAGAAGAAATATTGAAGAGGTTGAGAAGCACAGTGAGATGGAGGCAGATAGAAGGAGGGAGACACGTCACACTACCCGCGAATTGATTTGTTGAGGGAGCAAGAACGCATCGTCGAGCCTCAACAAATGCATGCGAGGAAGGCGCGCGCTGGAGTTTGAAGCATAGAACAGAGAATCGGTCTGACACAATCCATTCTCAAGGTTCTTTGCTTGAAGCTGCGTGCTGTTTTTGCCTCATCTGCCTGCTAGAGGAGAAGAGCAGGAGTTCAATCGCCATATCGCCGTATCGCCATATCGAGTCCCATCCAGAGAGATATACCAATCAAGTCGATGACCAGGGCCATGGAATAGAATCCCCATTCTCATCTCATCTTCATCGCTGCATATAGCCGCTGCTCACTGATATCGCCTGCCGTGACTTGACTTGTCTTGTCGGCAGCAAGTTTGGTGCTCAACAGCTCCCAGACTGGCCTTACGTAGGCAAAGTGCAATAGCAGGCCGTAACATCACTCAGCGCTTCCACTCATTCAGTAGCCGCAGCAATGCCGCTGTCATTTCTCAAGCCTCTCTCGGCAGAGTCCATTGACAACGTTGGGCCGTGCGGCAAATTCACTTCACATTGCCTGTGTCGTCGAAGGGCCAAGTGACAGGGTTCACGTGACAGCTTTCCTCTTTGGATGCGGCGACTGGGGCTGGGCCTGGCCGTGTGCATTGGCACCGATTTGTCGTCCAACTTAGCCGACACCAGCAAACTGCTGTGTGTTGATAAAATGCCATCAATTGACGTTCAGAAATTGTCGGCAATTCTCCCCTACTATCATTCGATTGACAGCCCCTCGCTCCTCATTCCCCGGCACATAAAAGCACAGTAATGCAACTCCCCAAACCCTCTTCTTCCTGCACTCCGTTGATCCTTTTCTTACCATCCCTTCTTTTCCCTCGTATCCATGCATCACTCGAATGCAACCAAAGCTCTAGTCGCAAAGCCTGATTGTGGCTCCTCGCCGCTGAGCTCGCTTCATGGTGGTGTCCAATGGCATCATCGTCACTTCGGGCCTTCTCCGCCTGGGCTATAGACATAGCACAGCTTATTGAGATGCGGGGTGGGAAAACTTACCAAATTCAAGTGTCCCAAGCGACTCGCTGGCAATCATTCAAGTTGCTGACTCGAAGGACGTGAAGATCGCACACAGTCAAGCCTTCCATCAAAGCTACCCCTGCTCCCTTACCCTTACCAACGTCTACAACGTCATTCGAGCCGACGGTTGAGAGCAAGACCAGTAACATCACCATCAACTGCGCCGATCTCTGACAGAAATAAGTTCACAGACTTCGTAGCTCGAAGACAATATGGCGATTGGTCATTAGATCGTGATCTAGTAACCAGGCGCTGCCGCAGTTGGATCCTGCATTTGCGTCGCCCTGTGCGGCATGTATTTTCTAGGCAGAGACATCGGTATAGCCTGCCCAGTTATGCTGCTTTTTTCTTATTTCCCATAGAAAAGTCGCTCAAGGACCAACAGGCACTGTAATACTCGTGCTGTGATGCGACCCGAGCCCGTTGTGAGACTGAGAATAAAATTGCTTTTTTCCTTTGGGGGCGCGGGCATGTCCGGAGAGGCCCTCTTGCAAAAGCTTTCAGAGAGCGTCGACTGCGACGGAGATGGGTTTTTGGAGACGAAGTTCGCGTTGCAGGGACGGATCGGTTGGCCGAAGCATTTGGCATACCGGCGGTCGGTAGTCGTGGTCTTCGCGGCTATCGCCCGCTGAATAGTACCCGCGTCCAGCGCAGCTCGAAGACCTTCACCAAGTCGCCAAAGCCCGCACCCGTCTTGGGTCTCACGACAAGACGGACTCGAGACAAATATCCAGGCTTGAGTCCAAGCTTGAGACACTTATCCAAGTCACAGCGCATAGCTAGATCCTACCCTCTGATTCAACCCAAGCCCTGCATCAGGTTGTGAAAATGCCTCAAGAATGTCGGGTGCAGGTGGGTTAGCCCAGCGATCGCTTAGCCATATGCATCGGGGTCCATGGCCGTGGCGGTCGGAAGTATTGCCGGATGTCGCACCCATAAACAATTCTGAAACGCGGCGTCCACAACACTCCAAATTTTCTCGGTGGATGCAAAGAGCCACAATTGCCTCGTACTTAGGTGGTTGTTTGTTGTTTGCATGGATGTGGCCGACTTTTTGCCAGTGTACAAGTACGAGACAAAAATGCCTCAAATGAAACTCGATGCTGTCGCCTCGGCGCAAAATGCGCACCGAAGTCGCGCGTACTCCGTACAATCGGCCTTTCTCCCCATAGCACTATTGACGGGTACCTCTGGTGGGCTCCATGTTGTAATAAGTAGAAGTGTGAGGGAAATCTCTTGACGCGCAAATGAGTTTGGTAGCTTTTGTATCCACTGAAACATAGGCGCCGAGGCTCCGACAGGGACAACCCAACATGCGCGCACCTGCAGAGAGGGAAAAAGGCGAGACATCCGTACTTATCAACTATGATCAACCACTAGTGACAGCGAAAGACAAGGAGTCCTTGGTGCACAGGGCAGGAGGAGGGTCGGGCTAGAGATATGAGAGCCTCCATTATTTGGGACTTTGAGCGTCGCGACTCGCATGATCCTAGTCGGCGCAATTTCTTCATTCATTTGCCGTTGTTTACCATTCCCCCAAACATTGTCGATAATAATTTTTCGGGTCCAGTGGATTGGCTAGCGGCTGCATGAGACGAGCCTGATGGTCCGTGATAGGAGGAGTGCGGAGCCCATTCTAGGGGCCTTGCTAGGCCAACATCTGCTCTGCAGCCAGCGCTTGTGCCTCGCCTGGCGCCAGTAGTGGAAATTCATTACCTCCAGCTGTCAATCAAACTGTGGGTCTGGACTTTGTTTTGAATCTCGCAAAAAAAGGAAGCGCATCTCGCGGAGTCGGCATACCAGGGCAAAACGAACAGGCTTATTCTAGATCTGGGGCTTGTTAAACAAGCATCCACGCTTGGACAAACAAGGCTCGACAAGGAGACCAATACTGCTATGAAAGCGATGAATAATCGCCGAGTTAGGCACGCCCGGATATCTCTGGAATGGATAACATTGCTGCTGCTTTGGGATGCAGAAGCATGAGGAGCAGCTTCGATGACGGCAAGCGGAAACCTCAATGCAGAAGACTGCGTGGCATTCCGCACAGCGCGCCGAAGTGCCTATGAGGAACGAAGACACCGGCGAGGTGTGAGCGTCATGGGTCATTAAGTTCTGCCGCGAGCTGGGGGTGCCCATGTCGGAGAAAAGCATCAAGCTGGGACCGATGTTTTGTTCTCTTTTAAAAAAAAAATGTTCAATGGGTGTGCTGTCGTCTGAACGTAATGGTAAATTGGCGTTACACGGCCATACCGTGTGAACGACGACAAATGCTTCAAATGACCCCGCCGGCGAGATCGATGAACGGCTAGCCATTACAAGCTAGATTGACAGGCAGCCCCCCGTCCGCTGCAGGCCAATGCCGCAGCTTCCTAGTGGACCGGTGACGACCAGCAGAAAGAATGCGACGCAATGAAGTCAGCGTGGGCCACTTGGACCAGGCCATATTTCCGGATTGACGGCATTCTTCTTTCAATGCGCCCGGGAGGGAGGGAGGGAGAAACCGGCAACTTGGGAGAGGCGGCCAGTTTGGGATGGTAAGCGACAGTTGAGACACCGGAGCGAGTTTGAGGGCAAGCCACAATCACAGCCCTTTTCAGTCACCCTCAGGATGACCGGAAGGATTTGCGTCCATGGGGTTGCAGCATCGTCGATGGTATGCCAGATGCTAGATGGCGAACTTGAATGCAAGATTCCATCATCTCCAATAACCCTCGTAGGGCGCTGCCGTTGTGTCCGCAAAACCTGACGATCAACAGCAGGATTTGACACGGTTCAGAGGTAAAAATGAATGTCATCCCAACAAGGAGACGATGGCCACGATATCATAACCCTGGTGGCTACCGAGTATTCACAGTGAGAGTGAGACAATATCATACTTCCCCTCCTACAGTAACCTGATGATGAGTGCTGTGCCTCGTATTGGATTGCTCCCAAATAGACAATGATGTCTTTGCACTCCGTACTTTGGCCTCAGGTGGGAAGTATTGGGCTACCAACCGCTGTTCCCCCGCGAAAATCACCCTTTGCGGCACATCGTTGAAGCTTATGTGGTGGTTTAGCACTGCGACTCACTGTAAACGCGTACACATTCTCACATCTCGGTGGGAGTAGAGCTGCAGCCATTACCCCGGGGGTTCTGATGAGATCAAATAACCCACTGTACCCGCCGAAGCAGAAGAACAACAGGGGCGAGATTGCAATCAGCTCAGGTAATCGTGCTGGTCAATGGGAGACCAGTTGCCCTGAATCCTGACTCATGTCCACGCAGATGGGGAGATGGGTGATTCTGGGGCAGCCATTCGCCTGTTGCCCTGTTGAAATAACTAGCTGCCCAGCTAGATAGGTGGCTGTCCTATGTGTACCGGCTATGTACCTAGGCAGTAATGGTGTATGCGAAACCAAGTTTGCACTCATGAGTGGTGGGAGGAGATGCAACGAGGTAGAAGACAAGCTGCATGGCCCACGTAATGGGCTTTTAGCCCTTTTCGCGCACCGGCAAGCACAAGCAGCTCCTGGTGTGCGCGTGGGCAAGTTCCGGGGCCTGGGACCGTGTAGGGGCTCACCAGGGCTTGTAGAGGCAGCCGGAGCCCAGGGCGGCGCCCTCGACATCACTTTGGCGGGTATCGTAGGCGCCCCTACGTGCCCGTAGTTGCCCGTAGGGTCCT